TCGCTAAAAAGTAGATTAACTGTAAGCTCACAAGATGTGAACCTAATTACCTGTGCTGCTGTTCAAGGCAGAGCTCAAAATGACTGTGGTGTAAGGAGCCGAGCCTAGCATTACCCTTTATTAATTTGTGCACTTTTCTAGCACAGTAAAGTGGGAGCGTTCTCGACCTCTTCAGAGGGGGGGCACATATATTCCCGGAGAGCCTCCCCAACTGCAGGGCCAGTGATGAAGAACCGTGACAGGCCTTACTCCATCCAAATGATCACTGGTGACTGGGCCCTTGGAGAGCTTTTTGTACCTTTTCCTCCTTCAACATTGCTTTTCTAGAGGAGACGTCAACAACACCGTTCTCGACATCCTCGGTGGAATCCGCTCTGCCTGTACCTACACCGGATCTGCTAAATTAAAAGTGAGTGCAACAATTACTTGTATACTATTTTATTATTTGAAAACGTTATTTGAGAAGGTATTCCATTTATGAATCTTGAATAATTCCTGCGTGAGTAGAGGCGCACCATGTTATTATCATACAAGAAGCAGCATTGGTGAAACTCATGCGAAAGACTCTTGGGTCCCGTTGGTCCTTTTGGCCCAATATTTAGCGGCGCCGACGTCGAACTATTACTATACGACAAGTGTTTCCTATAGCCCATTTGGGTAAGCGATTGGTGAAGACCCCACTCCCTCTCTCTCTCATGGCAGTTCTTTTCGGAAAAAAAAACCGGAGAAACTCTCAAAACTGTTTAGCCGACATAAATGAGAGAAATCAGGAAGATAGCGGGTACTATGGGCAGCGGGAAGGTGTGGGCGCATCGGAAGAGGAAATTTCGGGGTCGTGTTGACACCGCTGTTTTGCCCGTTTCAGCCCTTCACCCTGCATGGATCGAAACTGAGGTTTTGAACTTCAGAATTAGCCCGAGTGAACCGAACTTTGCACTAATTTGGGGTTAAATGTTGGTTTCTTATGCCACTGCTCTGCCCGTGTAAAAGCTTACTGTTTTCATCACACCTCTTAACTCTCCAACTCCGTTTTCAGGAGCTCCCTAAGCGAACCACCTTCATCCGAGTCACACAGCAAACAAACGACATGTATGTGCCTTTTGAAGTTAACCCTCGGATCTGATCCCCAGTGTCGAACGAGTTTCTATTTAGTGATATTAAATAAATCTTTCTGAACATTCAGTAAAACTGGTTAAAGAGCGCAGGTGAAGGAAGGTCAAACCATCCTGTAAATCTGTTGAGCTAACAGGGTGTACCTTCCTTTTTGCCTGCTTCTCCGGTCTTGCAGCAACGTGACAAGACAGCCATAATAAGTACTCTTTTTGAAAAATCTCCCTCTAGCGAGAGATTTCCCATCCTGCCTACCATCCTCCCAAATGTTCCCAATCTTCCAAAAAAAAAACGCAATAACGCACGACCGCGTGCAACATCGAAGCGAGCGGAGGCAAGCGCTCTCAATCCCTGCAACGAACCGTTGAGCTTGAGAAGTAAGAGTGCCCGCTGGTAAGCGAATAGCGGCATCGCCCGAAAGCGGCTGGTGTCGAATCCGGCCTGGATTCGACTTTTGCCCATAACCAGGCATCTTGTGAACTTTCCAAAACGGTTGGGCGTGTCAGGCAGTATGAGTGTGTCACTCCGTCAAAGCCGTTCTGCCTTCTTGTTGAAAGCGCGCATGCGACAAAAAGTAGAAAACGAGTAATACGAACGACAAGACACAGTCATATTATTTGCTTGCTTTGGTGGAGAACGGTTTAGCACCGCGCCAAATTCATCCCGCCTGACAGCGCCCAACCGTCCCACGAACTGCACTATCTCGCGGCGATACCATAACAAACGAGGAAACGTCCTGGAAAAAGTCCAGCAGACCGGAGAAAATTTGCCGCTGCTCGGAAAGTTTTCTTTCGAGCGAAATAGAGACCCTGCCTAACGGCAAGATGCTTCTCCCCCCTCCACCCTCCCTCATTAGCAGCTAGGCACGACGCAACTGAGTATGTTCTTCCAGCTACACTGTACCTGTCCTGGACAGAGAAAGTGGCGACGTAGGCACTGTCCAGGATAAGGAGAGCAAGTGGTTGGCGGCGAAATGCAGGAGGGAAGTTGCCGAGTGACTCGTTCGTGAGGAGAAAATGCCAAAGAAAACGGCGAAAACACCTTGAATATGACTCCTTCAGCCTGAAACAATTGCCCTGGTGAAATGCCAAAAAAAACCGCTTGCTGGTGCGGCTTCAGTTTGCCGACTCCTTGTAATGACCCTATGACCCCACAAGAGACAATGTAGCATCCATTTCGTGCTACTTGTCCGGTAGCATCGCTTTTGGCTGGAAGGCGGGCTTTGAAGGCGGAGTCTGGAGGCGGAGTCACTGGAAAAAGGGAGGTACCACTGGAGCAATTTGCAGCATAACTCCTACACCTTACAACTTTCGGCCGTAAAACTGGCACAGGGTTGTTCACTGCGGACCACGCTACCTTCCCATAAAGTCTTCTGCATTTTCATAGGTCATCGCGTACCGTTCCTTTAACAAGAACAGCGGCGCTGCGATGGCGGACTAACGCCTAAGAAAATGGGAAGCAGTGGTAACAGTTAGGCTTAACAGTGTCACGGTTGTGTGGTGATGGGAATATAACCATTGAAAAGACACAGCATTTATTTATTCAACAATTAAATCATTCTCTATGATAAGGATTGTCATTGCAACACGTATAGCTAGCTATTATATCACATCCCCAACAATTGCAGTGATCGCCTTCACAACTTCCTTCCCAACAATTCTGAACAACAAAATTTCAAATCGTTGTATTAGGCTGTCCCGAGAAATCCTAAATTTTCAAACCTTTCTTCCGAGTCAATTTTATACTAATGAGAAATAATTTTGATCAACAACTGATACATGTTACCTTCATCGGCAACTTGTTGCCAACCACCAAGCAAAGAGTGGTTGCCTTGCTTCCAGAAGCTTTTTAGTTCCGTGTCGAGAAAGGCAGCCGGGTCATTTTTGAGGTGCTTTTGAAAATCGTATTTTTCACCCAGAAGGTGGCCGCTGAGGGATAGTCTAGATAGATAGCAGTCAGAAAGAGCTAAGTCAGGGCTACATAAAGGGCGTGGTGGATACACCAGCTGAACTCATGCACTCGAGCGGTGTCATTTTCAAAACGTGTGACACTGAGCTGTGGTGGAGTAGACAAACATTCGCTCGGTTGTGGGACCAAATGGTGGGACCCCCTCTTTGTTACAATAGAGTTTGCTGGTTACCACAGCCCTGGAAAGAGGAAAATCCCAAGGAGGAGAGGAAGAAACTCCACCACATGCACAGTATAGCCGCCCTACTGGATTTATGGGATTGCGCGACCGGTTCTACCCTTTCTGGAGGACCTGGCGCTTCCGGAAAAGGTTCACCCAAAGACACTAGATACCTCCATACCCAGTTGTTCATCCAGTCCGTATGGCGGAAGCGGGAGAGAAGTTGTAGACAAATACCCACATGCCCTTTTCCTTGAGTGCCGGTCAACTCATGAGAAAACTTTTGACCGAACATCTACCCTTTCTTGTGGGAGTGAAAACTTGTCATTTGTGCTTTGGGAACAGTCAAGTGTAAGGGCTAGTTAGTTGATTCGTACCAATTCGTTTTATTCAAGGGGCGCAGAGGTCCAAATCCAAAACGGTTAGCTTCTTCGGACGAAATTTGTCTCCCAGGTAGAAGTCACGCAAGAGAAAGTGATCGGGCCACAGCGCCATACCGTGGAAGGTACCATTAGGATCTAACTTTAAGCAACTGCCGCGTGTGGCTCCAACTGGCTGTGAAGATTCATAAGCGAGGATTACGAGAGTGATGGAATTCAATTACCTTTTTGACTCGGCGCGCGCCGGTGTTCGTCCGGGTCGACTCCCGCCCAGGCCAACCAAGCCTTCTACCCTCCGGGGACGGTAAATTGGTACCAGATTCGTCTGGGAGGATAACACTGACTTGTACATCGGCTGGCCACCGCAAGTCATTGTATAGGCCACATCGCATTCAATAAGCCACTACGATTCTGAATGGAAGTAGAATGCGTGCCGCATCCCACAAAGGGATTGATCAACGGCGAAGACTTTATCCTTTTATCCTTTTAGATTTGAGAACAGCGACAGCGAGTGACGGTAAAGCAACTGTGGGATGCACACTTAACACACTTCCCAGACCACATAATTGGAGTCAGCCTGGGAATACACTGCCTTAGTCTCTTGCTGCACTAAAGTACACTCCTTGATCCCTGAGACGGAGTAGGCGTGGCATTTGAACATGGACATAGAATGGGTTACTCGTGGGATATTTCAGTTTGAGACAACTGTCATCTTGTTGTGTCGGACTGAGAAGGACCACAATTGTGTCGAAAGGAGATCTCTCCGAAAGCACAGACACCGCCACGTTCAGCTGAAGAACGCAGTCACGCCTACCACGCACCAGGGATTTCAAGTGTATGGACGGTGCGCAACCGATAGAGAGCACAATGATCTGGGCTGCACTACATGTGTGTGGTCACAAAAGGGCCTATACGTAAAAAAATAGAAAAATTCAATGGCGGTGCTCCCGCACGCGTACTAAGTGATCTCATTGCGATGGTGCAGCCAAAGGACGAGCGTTAACAAGCGTCCTTATCACTGGGGTATCTGACGACTCAATGGTGGAGCATTGCTATGTCGCCGCTCTCGTCTTGGTTGTCGAAGGCGCAACCTAGGCACAAGAGTTCTCATGGCTCCTTCACATAGGTCAAGCGACTGCGGACGGACGATCCCTCACAGGAAAGTTGAATGAGGGTGCCGTGAACTCAATCGAACCCCTAGCTCCAATGATAACTCATGGATAGGGATAGCCCGGCTCCTAATCCCGGTTCTGTACCAGCTTAATGAAACCTTTAGGAGCTCTTCACAGTAACCAGTGGCCGAATCATCCGACTGGTGTTTCATTTTTTCTGTGGATCAGGTTGCTCAAGAGTTACAGGGCTTCTTCTCAACCAGACAAAAACGACGAAAAAAACTCACTTTAATATTACAGTAAAATTTGCATCCAACTCCGAGCCAACAAAAGAAATTCCCAGATGCATTGCAAAACAAGCTGATAAATACTAAGGCGATGAATAGTTTTCCATAAGCCATTCTGTAGAAAAAACCTGCGTGGATGGAACTTTAACTTTCGCTTCCCATGTTTGTACTACTTTTACAAAGATTCTAGTGATGTATCATCATGGGTACTATCGCCGTTGAACGCGGAGGGCACGTTGGCTGTGAGCAGGCGGTTGTCGCCATCATCATTGTGCAAGATCGACGACTACACCATCTCGCTTTGCTAACGAAATCTTCTGATCACACT